TATATATATATACGAAATAAAATAAAAAGAATAGAAATATAAATAAATACAAGAAAACACGAAGAAAGTTAAGAAAAACAATAAGTTTCATTTATTGCACATGAGCTGCAAGTAAACAGAACTCATTAGATAAGTTCAAAATGAAGATAAAACAAAGGAAAATTATAGACATATGAAAAAAAAAGGGGGGGGGAATAATAGTGAGAAAAAAACAACTGAAAAAAAAGGATGAAATTCTTTTAAAAAAATCCGGAAAATAAAAGATATAATCTTTTCATCAGCCCCCGCGATTATATCCGCAAAATAGAGTGCTTTCTGAGCCGAAGCAAAATATATTAATACAATAGCGTGAGACAAGATTGCCAGATTACAAAATATTTAGTTTAATAAAATATATAGATAAAGTAAAAGATAAAGTATATAGATAAAGTAATATAAAGTAATAATTTTAAGTTATATGTGAAGTATATGCTTAGATTCATTTTTTTAGATTGTTTTAAGTAATAATTAACGCAGTGTTGAATAGTTACTAGTTAAGTATTTATTTAAAATAATATTGTATTTTCAGAGAAATAAAATATAGTTTCGAAGTAATTCTTTCGATTGATTTTTGATCTTTTGCTGAAATGATTGCAGAAATTTCAAACACACAGGATGCTATGGTACGATTTCCAGCAATAGCTTATATATATATTATAAGCGATAGCTCGAGATGTGAGTGTGAAAGCAATGCAGCATCTAATGTCGAAGCATTGGAATGAGATTAGCTTTCGATCTGATGGAACATCTCATGACGTCGATGTGATGACAGTGAAGGAAATAATTTTAACATTTCCGTTGCCTACTATGCTGAAATATTTCGAACTCATACTTAGGATGTTTTGCGTGCTCTGTTAGAAATTTCCCGAAAATTATAGTTAAATGACAATTTATTTAATTCTTATTTTACCATATTCAAGCAAAACAGTCAAATAATCATAAATAAGATGGTAAACAAATTGTTAACTGCCAGAAAAACCATTTATTAGCTTCTTTCACCTAATACGGTTAAGCAACCAGAATTTTATCTCACCGGCTAAGCTCACCTAATAAAGCAACTTTGGTCTTTGAAACTACGTACAAATTATAGCCAAGGAGGCTTATCTGTCAGTCTCACAACCGACAGAACTGGGGTTCGGGTCCCAGCGTTAACATCGCAATATTTCCTCCATCCCCCTCAACACTTGATGAGTTTCCAGTGTCCTGCTCTCTCCAATACCCATTACCTAGCGAAAAGCTTAGCTCCTATATTCAGTTAATTTTCTTATGGTTTTGAAACCATGCTATTTGTAAATGGTTTCAAACTGTATATGTTCTTTTTCGTAACCTTTACGGATGGACAGATTGTTGCCGGTTTTTTTAAGATAATTTTAGAATAAAAATTATAACAGGAATATTTAATGACTGGCAAACAAATTTTAAATAATTACTTAAGTTCAATGCATGAGAAATTTTAATAATATAACAGACGTCTCTTAAAAATAGTTAAAATTGAAATCAGAGTACTTCTTCGGATCTTGAGTTGATGGCAACAGCTAGACGGTGAGAAAATCTCGTTAATATATTATTTAAAACTATTTAAGGTGTTAGAATTGGAGGAGGGGTTGAAGAAATATTTAAATACAGTTGGGATGCGCATTCTGCATGGTTACCTTTAAGGTTTATATATTTGTGCTAGATAATTTTGAAATGTGACTAAACTGGTAGCCAGAGGTGGCTATTTGATAGATTTGATTAATTATAAGAATTTAAAGTGATTGAATAAAATAATGTTAACGTCACTAAATTTAGATGACTTTTAATACATAATTCAAATTTTTTGTCCGTAGGAAATTTTTCGCAGATTTTATTTTTTAAAATTTTTTTTTCATTTAAAAAAAATTGAAAGATACAGAAATTTAGTAAAAGCTTTTAAAAATTGAAATTTAAAAACTAATTTAATTTTAACATTAAATTTTAAAAGCTTTTGTAGAAATGACGAGAAAATTCATTGATAGCAAAATAAAAGTAAGGATTAATTATAAATAAAAAAAATCTTTTTAAAAAAATCTGTTTTAGAATTGATTTGATATAATTGAAACTAAAAATACTAGTGCAATTTAAAAATGTTGCGGTATATTTCAAGTGCTCAAACATGCTCCACGTCGAGATAAAACTAAATAACTAAATAAACGAGAATAACTAAAATATGTTAAAAAACGTGTAAAAATGAATTTATAAACAATGTTAAAACGAAAGAAATAAAGGAAAAAAAAATATTACGCTATCCAGCAGAGAAATAATTAAGGTCGATTTTATTTGTTCTACATTGATTTGGGTAAAAATACAGTAGTATAATTTAAATAGAGTAGTAGAATATGCATTTTCCGCACTCTCTGCCACAACATTATTTTAAAAGGATTTTTTCTCTTCCATTTCTATCTCTTTTGGCATCATTTCGAAATTTTCGTAGCGATATCCCCTGATTGCATTCCCAACTGCAGACCCACACTCCAAAAAAAATCAAAAATCCATCTCCCTCTATTTTTGATATTTTTGAGTAGGGGTAATTGGTAATTTTGAGTAGGGGTTTCAATTTAGTGAACCCTTTGAGCTTATCGTTTTCTTAAAGAAGCCTCTTGATCAAAGAGAGAGTAAAAAAGCGATATGAAAGCTACATTATTCTCGTATTTCCTGATTCATTATTGGGTCTTTATTTTAACACAATGCAAACGTCTTAATAAGATAATGAATAATAATATAGCTAATATTTTTTTTTATAAAATATGTCCTACGAATAATAGACAAAAACAATAATATTTAAAATTATATCGAATTATTGACTTGAAAAATTCATGACTTGTCTACGATTGTTTTTATTGCAAATTTTTTTCCCATCTGGAACAATTGCTTATTTTTACAAAAATCAGCAACCTTTAAGAACTCAATCTTTTTTAAAAAATTAAAAATGTATCGCTTTAATTAACACTTTAATTAAGCAATTAATGCAAACATCTTAGTAAGGTAATAAATAATAATATAGCTAATATTTTTTTATAAAATGATAATGAAATGATTTTATAAAATGATAATATAGCTAATATTTTTTTATAATATGAATAATATACAAAAACAATACTATTTAAAATTGTATCAAATTATTAAAAGAAATATTATCATGACTTGTCTGCGATTGTTTTTTATTGCAAAGTATTTTTCCTTCTGGAATAATTGTTTATTTTTACAAAAATAAGCAACCTTTAGGAACTCAACCTTTTTTGAAAAATTAAAAATTTAACACTTTAATTCGGCAAATTTATCCCTTACAGAATGCGGAACTCTTGACAGAGCTCTAGGATACCATTGGGTTCCACGGAATACAAGTTTCTAATCTCAGTTCCAGAGTGTTCCCTCTTTTCTAAAATATCAAATCATTTAACATTTGCTCTAAAAACACTTAAAAATACATGTAATAGTCTAAATTTTGCTAACAGAAGAAAAAAACCCATCTTAAATAATCTTAAATACATCTTAATTAATGTCTTATAGTATTTTTGAATGCTAGGGGTCATAGAAGTTTCAGTTTATTATTCATCATTAAACAGTAAGTTTTAAGAACCATTTTAAAACTAAATTTTATCTTTCTTTAGCGTTGTCTTATATAGTATAGTACAACAAATTCATTTCTTAGATTCTAAATATTTGATATGACTTAATTTTTCAAGTTTCATAATTTCAAAATAAATTCTAAACTTTCGTGCGAAAAATTTCTATTTGAAGATACTTAGCCAAATTATTGAGTTTTTGCCACCTTTTCCTCTCGTTTTTCCCGTTGTCATAGCAACTCGTCTCTAGAAAACCTCGTTCCTGATTTTTATCGGTACTAAAAATAATTCTTTCCCTGAATCTCCTC